TCCTGCACACCTGGCCGTCCGTCGGGCAGGCATCGAAAAGGCGGGCTGCCGATGTCCAGGAAGGGCTTTCACGCGTCATCGCACCCAGGAGACCAGCTGGCACCAGCTACCGGGTCCCGCTCTGCTCCTGGTCCCTGGTTCTGTCCATAGTCCCAGACAGCAGACCCCCCAACCCTGAGGGTCCGGGACACTGCCCGGGCCTCGCACTGTGATTACTTGTCCCATTTCTCTAACCGCCTTCCCTGTAAAAGAGACGCCCCTGCTTCCGTCTTCCTCGCCACTGACCTTGGACAGTCTCCAGAGTGCTCGTTTTGCACTACGTCCTCCGATTCAGGTTTCCCCTCGTCGGACCTATGGCTCGATTCAGGGTAGGTATCCTGGACGAGAGCAGAAACCCCGCTCCCCAGTGCGGCTGGCCTCCCGCCACGGGCACCGTCAGCCACACCCAGGTCCCAACGAGAAGGCTCCCTGATGTGGCACCTGCTATGTCTCCTCTGAGCTGCCCGGGGGGCAGCAGGGAGGAGGCGGGACCCAGGAGGGCTAGAGGTAAAGGGCAGAGAGCCTGAGGTGTGGGGCTCAGGGTTCCCTGGAGGGCTGGGAGCAGAGCAGCACCAGGAGAAATCCCTTTACCTCAGCAGAGTCTCAAGGAAGATCCAAAGGGTGTGGGGCAAGGGGCCTCGGGGCACAGGATAGGACCTCCGAGGGGCTGTGTCCAGCGGGGAAGACAGGAGCAGCCTGACCTCTCCCTCTCTCTCTCTCTGCAGCCACTGGTACCCAGAGAGGAGGATGAGGATGAGGGGCTGGGGAAGTGACGACATCCCTGACTTCCCAAGCTCTTCTCTGACGGAATCCCAGAGGTGGTGAGGCTGGCGGAGAGGGGAGCCCCTGCCAGGTCTGAGCCCCTGGGTGTGGGGGCTCAGAGGGCCTCTGGTAAGGCCTCTGCGTTGCTGCTCTGGCTCTCCCAGTACGTGAGGTACGCTGTGCCGCACCAAGTTCTAGGACATCAGATCAGCGTGTGGTTGGCATCTGCCAGGGCCCCTCAGGCCCACCCAAAGACAGCCCCGGGAACACCTGCTGCAGGATGGAGGGCAGAGGAGGGGAGGGCCGGGACAGGGGACAGAGGCACTCCTGGAGCCCGGGGAGAGCAGAGTCGGGAGCCCTCTTCCCCCCCATCCTGGCCCCACTCACCCAGGGGAGGTGGCCCTGATACCAGGGGAGCGGCAGCAACCCCCCCAGGGTCGGAGCAGTGCACAGCGGGGCAGGAGCTGGGCGTGCAAGTCAGGCCCATTGGCCCCAGGAACTCAAATCGATAAACAAGCATAGAGCAAATTCCATTTCAATGAAAACATCACCAAATGGCAGATTCCCAAGCCCTGGGATGGGGGTCTGAGAGCGCATGGCCCCAGCTGGGCTCACTCACCCACCTGTCAGCATCGGCCCAATGGGAAGGGGAGTGCATTCCGCTGTCCAGCCTGGTTCCCGCGTCTCCACAGCAGACCAGCGCCACCCGTTTGAACGTCCACTGTGTTGCTGGGCCGGGCTGGGGTTGAGAGGACCAAGGGCCACTAGGCCGGGACCCTGGGTATGGTTTGTGGATTGTTAAGGTTCCTGGCTACGTGTGGGTTTAGGAGGCAAGAGAAAGGCTGGGTCCGGGAGGCGGTGGGGGGGGGAGGGAGCGGCAATGACACATGAGGGACAAGGCTGAGAAGGGGACTTTAGTGAGAGAAGAGACGTGAGGGGCAGGATGGGCGGGACTTGGTGTAACCTGAGGTTAGGGGTGGGAAGAAGGGGCTCTTATAGTCCTCTGCTCCGCAGTCCACACTCTTACCATACCGCCCCCCGCAGGGTGCCTGGGGATGTCCTCGGGGGGGGGCTCTGCCTGGACAATGCCCCAAAGCCCACGGAGACTTCTCGCCAGCTTTCCTGAGGCCAGGACACCATTTCCCACAGTGACTAGAATGGGCCCAGCCTGGGTGCGCGGAGGCCCCCGGTCATGGTAGGTGATCCCAAGCCCAGGAAGCCCGGGTCAGCTGGGTGGCTCGGGGCCATGGACACAGCCCCAGGTGGGAGGAAGGGCCCATGGAGGGCCCTGCTGGGATGACGAGCTGTGTCTTGGACAAAGGCAGCCTTCCCCATCAGATGGACCTGGTTCAGTCCTGCTGTGTGGCCTTGGGCAAGCGACTAAACCTCTCTGTGCACCTGTCTTCAAGTTTAACAGTTATTTCCACGGCAGGCCGGCTGTGGAGACCCACAGTGCCAATGTTGTAAATGCGGCAAGGACAGGACAGGGCAGCTCGGCAGTGGTCTTAGCGGGCCTGGGGCTGGCAGTGTGGTGGCCCACCCGAAGACCAGCAAGCCCACGGAGGGGTCAGCATGGCTAAGGGTGAACAGAGGATGGCCGAGGGGGGCCACAGGTGGTCTCTGCACCTGCCAGGTGAGTGGAAAGGCCTGTCCAGCTGGGGCAGACAGCTGGGAGCTGGGTTCCTGAAGCCCAGCAGGGCTTCTGCTGTTCTTGCTGCCCTGCTCCCACCTTCTGCCCCCATCTTTGCCCCTCCCCCACCATCTCAGCCCGGCTCTCCCAGCTTCCTGTTGGTCCCATTGCGACAGCATGGAGGTGCTGGGGAGGCCTGGTCGGCGGGCTGGGCGGCATCCCAGGCCCCTGACCCCGGTACTGACCCTGCAGCCCATCCAGGGTCCTGGGTGGTAGTTGGACTGGCCATGTCAGAGCCATCCACAGAGCTTGCTGGTCACCCCCAGGCCTCTCTCCAGGGTAGGGCCTGGGCATCTGGGTTTTCACCAGGGACCCTGGAGGGCCCCTGCACGGTCACATCCTTCGGAAGGCACTGAAGACCAGGCAAGGCCACCTGCTGTCCAAGATCCTGCTGGGGAGCCCACCACGGGCACTGGGCCCGCCTCGCCCTTGGGCAGCTGAGCCCTGATGTGCGGAGGCCTGCTCTGCCACAGACTTAACTCCCCTCACCACCCGCGCCGGACAAGGCCCACCTGGCCCACAGCCCGAAGACCAGAGAGAAGGGGCCGGGCCTCTTTACAGGATGGAGGAGTCCGGGGGAAGGTTTCAAAGTACCAGGCACCCTCTGCTGGAGTGGACCTATGAGACCACCGTCACTTGTCTCCAGATGGGGGCAGGTGGCCCTGCTCCCCACCCCAGCCCCTGGCCACCCTCCCCTGCCTCTCCTCCTGGGCTCCCAAGGGCCTCCTTCACCCCCAGCCTGGAGGTCTCTGGGCATCCAGTCGGGGTTCCCTTTCCCCTCCTCCACAATTCCTTTGTGAAGGACGTCCTTGGTGTCCCCAGGAAGTACTCCAGACGCCCCCATGAGACCCAGGTCACACAGCAAGAGAGCCAGGATGGGGGGTGCAGGGTGGCCCGGCTGCTTCAGAAGCACCCTCACGCCTGCCCTGGCTCCGCTGGCCCCCCGGGCAGCTCAACCCCTAAATTGAGGGAGGGATTCCCAGCTCCTCAGAAGGCTCTCGTCATGCTAATGGCTTTCCAGGGGTCCCTGTGCATCCAGGCCCCCGACTCCCAACTGGCACGATTAGCAGTGAGTTCAATGCCAGGAAAATTATTAATATCCATCCTCAAGTTTACTTCTGGGGAAGTTTGCCAATTAATTCTGCAAACCAAGGCAGCCAGAGTAAAAGGGAGAGGCAGGCAGGGACCCAGGACAGTCCTGGTGAGAGGTGCAGGGGAAGCGGGTATAGACGCCGTCATCCTCAGGAGACTGGAGGGCGCAGACACAGCAATTAGGAGCCCCCCCAGCTCCTACCCACCCATGGCCACTGGCAGGTGGCAGGAGGGGCAAAGCTGTCCTAGTCTTCTGTGCCATGGCTCCTAAAGTGTGTGTGTGTGTGTGTGTGTGTGTGTGTGTGAGCACGCGCGTGCACACGCGTGCACGTGCTGTGGGGGTTGGACTGGGAGCCCCAGCTCTCAATAGTCTATAGGTGTGAACAACAACCACGCTGACAGTTTAGCACCAGGTCTGACTGGCAGGAGCTGGTGGCCTTGGGTCCTGTGACAGCCAGGGCCACACAGTGTTTTGGGTTTTCCAAAGTCTTGATGGATGGTCCCCAGTCCTGGTCCTTCCTGTGCTTTCTTTCTCCCTTTTGTGCAAAGCCAGGCCCCTCCACTTCAATGCCGGGTCCCACCCTGGCAGCCTTGGCTCCCCCACCTCTCACTGGTCCCCTGTCCCTGCTCTTGCCTTGTCCCACAGTCTGGGCGTGGGGTGGGCAGGGTCCGAGTGCTGCAGAAGGAACCAAGGAGACACCCATGCAGGGGCTGTCTGGGCCCCCAGGCCTCGGCATCACAGAGAGTCTCAGCGGGAGTCGGGGGACTCTCCAGAGGCTTCAGGAACCGGAATGTGATCCACACACAGGGGAAAGAGAAGGGGGGCAGAGCCACAGGGGGCTCCCGACAGTGGGGGGAGGGGACAGGAGTTCTAAAGGCACCAGGCAGGCTCCCTCTGGACCTGAGGAAGCGGCCCTGCTTCCCATGGGATGAGCGGGGGACCACCATGCCAAGACCCCAGGGCCCTGGGGGGCAGTCCTGCCCAGCAAGCTTCCAGATGTCTGGCTCAGGAATGCTGCCCCCAGCCTGCTCTGCAGTGTCCAGAACAGAAGGGCAAAGCCTCCAAGTGACTTTTCTCCGCTTTTTAAAGGCAGCCCAGAATATTCCACTTCTGCCAGCCCAAGGCCTGGCCTGCCGCTGCCCGTGCCTCTCCATCTCCTGCTGCTCCCAGCCCACTTCAGCCAGGCCATGCCTGTCCTGCCACCAATGCCCCAGCTGCCCCCATCAGGCCCCAAAAGTTCTTAAAAAGGTAAATTAAAATAAATTGCATTTCGAAATCACGAGGAGGGGCGATGGTATCGCCTTTAGTGCATAACAGCCACTAATGAAGTCTAGTCCTCGTAGCCTTACTCGCCTGGAGACCGGTTCAAGTCCCGCTGTGCACGCAGGCTGGGGGATGCGGGTCCTGGCCACGCACCTGGCGCAACGGCAGCGGGGATACATCGATGCGCAGAGACAGAGGCTTCGGGAAAGTCCTGGAGGCGACAGGTAGAGCCCCTGCCTCCTGAGGGATGGGTCGGCGGCCCTGGAGAGGCCTCTGGGCCTGAGGTGGGGGTGGGGAGAGCGGAGACCTCCCCACTCTCCCTCCTGCAGAGAAGGCGAATGCAAACACAGCAGCCCCTCCACACTCACCCCACGCCCCCGGCACAGGGGAGCAGAGTGGGACAGGCCTGGCAAGCAAGGCTCATGCCAGAGGCCCAGATCGGCCGCATGCCCCAGGCCTGGGAGCAAGCCTGGCTTTTCCGGGCCCCTCCCGGGCATGGCCACTTTCCGGGGCTTCTTGCAGCTCTATGGGAGGGTCTGGGAGGGCGAGAGTCCCCTCCTCTTTCTACACTTGCCCTGGGAGTCTGCAGGGCTGAGGCCGAAGGCAGAGTAAGGGCTGCGGTGGGCAACAGAGCTCCCCAGTCTCCTCTTGGCGGGCAGGTGGACAGGCGCTGCGGCCCTCCCAAACCCTCTGTTCATCGTCGCGGTTGGAACAAGACCATGTGCCCAACCGAGCGAGAGAGAGAGAGAGAGAGAGAGAGAGACTAAAAGCCAGCCAGTGCCACTTGTACCACTTGTGCTGAACTCCATCCCCAGCGCCCCCCGTCCCAGCCCCCAGGGCCGCGGCCCATTAATCTTTAACTGCCTCTGGGCTAGCGCTGACCCCGAAAGCAAACAGGAATAGGATTCCTGGGGAAGGGACACTCCGGTTAGGGGCGGGGGCGGAAGGCTCCACCTCATGCCCCCAGCGTCGCGCCCCACCGAGGCTGGAGAAGGGCCCTATCTCCCCAGTTCTGAGCCCTGCGGGACCCCAGCGCAGAGGCAGATTTCCGAGCCGGATTAGAAGCCCAGCAGGGAGTCGAGGCAGGGGCCGGGGCAGGAGCAGGGGCGGCGGTCCCCGCTCTTTGCCGAGGTCCCCGCAGCAGCCTGGGGGCAAAGGCGTCCCGGCAGAAAGCGGGGGAGGGGGCGCTTCCTCCAGAAATCCGCTGGGCTATTGTTAACACTTTCCGAGGCCAGGGAATTTTTCCAGGAGGTTGTGACAGCCCCAAATAATAATAATAACGCCCCTCCCCCAGCAGCAGGAATTCTGGAGAAAACAGCTGCTGCCGCGATCCGGCCGAGAAAAAACCAGGTCAGGCGCCGCGAAGATCTAATTTAAGGCGCGCACCGGCATCCGCAGCCGCCCGCGGCACGCACCGCCCTCGCGCCCGGGTGCGCGGTTCGCGGCCCGGCAGGACCAGGGCGCGCGCCGGGCCGGCCGCGTCGTGGCCCGAGTCTCGGCGAGGCCCTGCCCTGCGGGGCTGTCGCGGCGGCCCGGAGGACGACCCCGGAAGGGGGACCGGGCGCCGGCAGGCGCGGGGCTCCCTCGGTGCTCCACAAAGCGGCCCGTCCGTGGGGGAGGGGAAGGAGCAGGACCCGCCGCCGCCGGGAGAGCGGAGCCGACCTCAATCAGAAGTGACAGCAGCAGGGGCCGCGGGCGCGGGCGGGCCGGGCCGGCCGGGCCACCAAGCCCCATCCGCGCCCCTGTCTCGCGCGGGCCACACGGGGCGCCTTTCTCCGCGGGGCGCAGAGAGCGCGGGCTCCGGGGCGGGCTCAGACGCGGCGGGGGGCGGGCTGGGCCTGGAAAGTTCTTGGAGCTGACGCCCACTCCCCGCGGGCCGTACGGGTCCGGGCTGGAGGGCGCAGCGGGTCCGCCAGCGCTGGTCGTCCCGGAGCGCAGGCGTTTCGCACGCGGTGGCCAGGCCCCGCAGCTCCCGGTCCCCAGTGTCCCGCGGAGGGTCCTGCGCGGAGCCGCTGTCCTGGCACACGCTCCGGCTCCCCCGGGTGCTCCGAGGGCCCGAGACTCTGGAGTCGATTCTGGGAATTTCGACGTTTCCAGGGTTAGGGCTGGCGGAGCCGAGCGGAGGCCACAGGGGACAGAAGGCCTGCAGCTCCGGGTGTCCCCCCCACTCCCGCCCTGGGTGTGAGTTCCTGTCTCTGGGGCACAAATCAACAAACAAATAATTCTCGGTATTTCCCAAACTGGGGATCCGAGGCGGGGGCGAGGGTGTGGTGTGAGAAGGAAGGATGGAGGGAGGAGGGGACAGGGTCGAACCAGCTGGGTTTTTTTTTACTTTAAAAATTATATATTTTATGTCACAATCGCTTTTCGTTAAGACCACAAACATCCAATTTGGCTTGGCGTAATAAAATCAGCCGGAGCTCCCTTAAACGGAGCCATTCCGGTGAATGAAGTTGTGAAATCCAATCTATTGTATCCATAAAGGAGAATGCTTTCGTTGTAAATTCCGGCTATCAGGCAGCCATACCTGGGGCCTGCCTCCCCTCCGGATTTGCTACTTGAAGGCTTATCAAATTACTTCAAAATGTGGGGCTACCCTCTCCATATCTCATGGCAACAAAAATTAAATATGGCAACATTTCTTTTAATAGTAGGAAAAGGTCAGGTAGAACCCCCATAACAAGGGGGTATAATTAAAAAAAGACTTTCCCCCTCAACCTCTCCTCTGTTAGGAAGCGCCGTTACTATTTCACCAATTAATTCGAGTTTCTAAAATAATCCAAACGGGCCAAGTCTTCCTTCACGTCCTCTTCAGCTCCGAGGCTGCAGAGCGTCTAGGGCACAGCTCCCGGGTGGATCGCACTTGGGCCCAGAAGACCTCGACGGCCGGGACACCCGGACCTCCGGTCCCTCTGGTGCTGGGACCTCTTGGCTCAGCCCCAACCGACAGCCGCGTCCCTGCCCGCAGTCTGCGTACCTGGGCCACAGAAGTGCCTGGGAGTCCCGCTCGCTCCTTCCGGCACTTGTGCCGGGCCCTGAGGCCTAGCACGCTGTGGGTCGGGCAGTCTCTGCAGTGGCCTCCGCAGTGGCCGGGCCAGACAAAGGAGTCGCTCAGGAGGGGTTAATCCACCCCCAACCCTTCTCCATCCCCACCCCACACCCTCCTGGGGCAGCGTGGGGCAAGGAATGGGGAACACCCTGGTAGTATTGATCTGGTTGGCAAACGGGGTCGGGGTCTGGGCTGCTGTTCCTTGCATGGGGGTCCCGGGTCCCAGGCCCTCGCGGTCCAGACCACACCCTCCCCCTGTGACACCCTCCACGTCTGAGAATTAACTGACTCCAGGCTTGGGCCAGGGGCATCGTGCGCTGGCCAGAAGCCGGGGCCTCCAAGGATTTTCCATCCGTGCTCCCAAAGAGGGGTGTTGGGGGGCCGGCAAGGAGGAGGCGGAGAAGCTCGAAACTCCCAGATAACCGAGGACCGGCTCTGTCGGCCCTCGCAGATTTATGAGGTGCCTGTGGGGTGTCGGCCAGGCCTCGCGGAGGCGGCCAGCGCACCCTGCCTAATCTTTGACTTCCATCTAATCATTTTGTTCCTGCCACTTTCGACTCAGTGTCCAGAGAAGCAAACAAAGGGAGGATGGGGGATGGGGCCACTCGGCAGGAGCGAGGAATCTGCGGCCCCCCCCCAGCACAGTGGGGGCCCCTTGAGCCCCAGGCTCCTACCCTGCGTGGGTCTCCGGGAAGGCGAAGGACGAAGGGTGATCCTAGCGGAGTGAGGGACTCACTCTCCAGGCAGGCTCGGCTTCCTCCACTAGTTAGGGTGGGAGCCGCAACCCCCCAGCGGGTCTCAGAGCCCCACGGAGGCAGCATCGCGTCCAACATGCCGCCAGGCCGGGCTCCTTGGGAGGAATCCCCGTGAAGGCCCTGGGGCGGCGGGAGAAAGAGAAAGAAATACTTTCCCCTAAATTGCAATGGAAGGGGTTCGTGGAGAGCGTTGGGCCGGGTGCCCCCAACTGGGGGTGGTAGAGAAGGCAGAGAGAGGCCGGATGTCTTTTCTTCCCACCAGATAAAAGATCCGCCCAAGCGGGTAAGACTTAAGGAGTGAAACTTGCGTTTTTCATGTAAAAAAAACAAAACAAAACAAAAACCCTAATATGGAAAATGACTTTAGTGGTCACCACCCATAAGTCAACTAAAAACAGGGATAATTAGAGTGTGGGGAATTCAGGGGACCATAAATCTTCGGCGCCTTTTCTACGGGAATCGGGAGCCTTTACGGTTTGTTGAGTTTTATTCCAGGGCTTTGGTGGATGCGGGTCTGCACCAGGAGCCCCACGCCCGGGCCAGCCAGGCCGTGCAGCGAGGGCCCCGGGAACCCCTCATCTCCGTCCCCGGAAGGTGGAAACCGAAACTGAGCGCTCTGCCGAGTGGAGGGGCTTTTCCTGTCGTCGGGCCCCCTCTCCGCGGCCCGGTAACCACGACTTGGGACAACGTGAAGCAGGGTCTCGGGGCTGGGTGTTGTACAGAACCCGACTCCAGGGCGGGGGGGGGACCTTCTCTTCTTTCCAGACCAGACTCCAAGGAGAATATTCGAGGGACCGGGAGGTGAGGCATTTTTTACAGCGTGCCCCACTCGAACCCCCACCCCTTTCGCCCAGGCCCTTTGTTCTCACTTATGGAAGGGGGGGCAGGAGAAAAGGACCCGAAATCATCCCCTCCGTCGCTTCATTTTCAGTATTCCCCCCAACGGCAAAGAATACATTTCACTCCATGGGGGATTTTTCCCCACCGGGCAGAGACCACATTTCCAGTTTCCCACGTAGGACTCTCCTTCTGTGAAAACAGTCTCCAAACAAAAACACCCCAAAACCAAACACCACCTAAAGCCCCACCAAAAGTGGGCAGGAGGAGGTTCATTCTCCTCCTTAAAGTGTCCCCCAGATAAAAGCGCGCCCTTTCCTTCAGCTCTCTCCAACCCTCCCCTTTGTTGCAAAGACTCAGTCGCATCCTAAGAACAGGGCCGGGGAGGGGGGGCGGCTACGGGTTCACAATCAGAAGAGTTCTCCCCCCAAAACGATTCTCAGAGGACTTCTTTTGTTTGACGTGGGCATGGGGGAGGGGAAGGAGCCCGCTGGAGGGCGGCTACGGGGCCTCCCCTATCAACCCCCCCAAAAAACAAAGCCCGCGGCCTCTCCTAACGGGCAAGTTCGGGGCTCCTGGGGCTAGGAGGGATCACTACAGAACTAGGGGAGCTGCCCGCCCAGCATGGAGCCAAGGCTGGGTTTCCCCTTTCTGAGCTCCCTCCGACCCTCCCCCAAACTGAGCCTCACAGCTCGGAAAAGAATCCGGGCTTTCCAGGGGATGAGGGTGAGAAACTGCAGGGAACAAAGCGCCGTCGCCCCGCACTGGGACCCAGGCAGGGCTCGTGGTCTCTTCGGCGAATTAAACGGAACCTGGAAAAAACAAGCTTTTACAAAGCGGAACGAGGTCCCAGCCCCGAAGCGGAGCGGAGGGCGGTCCCCCGCAGGGACTGCAGGCGCAACCCGGGACGGCGTCCACGCAGCCGCCAGCGGCCCTCCCAGAGCCCTGCAGAGAGACACGCTTGCAGCGAAAGGCTCTACACACCAACCGGGTTTTTATTCGTTCGCTACCCGGGTGCGCTCCCGGCGCGCGGGAAACAAGGAAACGCACGTACCTGGCGGCGCTCCGAGGGCGGCCTCGCGGGCCCTCCGCTGGCGAGGGGCCCCCGGAAGCCACTCCCCACCCGGCCGGTCGCCCCACGGCCCGTCCCTCCCTCCCCGGCGACGCACCCCTCCGAGTCAAGTCCTCAGGAAGCGCGAGGAGCTTCCAGTCCGGGCGCAGCATCCAGCTTCCAAGGCGCCGTCCCCGGGGAAGATCCCCGCGGCCCTGCAGGCCGGGAACGGGGCGCCGAGGCCGGGGAGCGGCGCGTCCCGCCGCTGGGCAGGGGCTCTCGCCGCAGGTCGCACCCCCGGCCCGCGCGCATCCTTCCCGGCCTGGGCTCCGCGTTCCCCCGTTCCCCGCCGAGCTCCGGGAGACGGCCGCGGAGCCCTCGGGGAAGACGAGGAGGCGGCAGCGGCCGCGGTCCCGGCAGGAGCCCCGGGGCGGGAGGGGTGCTGGGCGGAGGGGCCGAGGGGCGGAGGGGCGGAGGGGCGGGCAGGCTCCCCGCGCCCCGCTGCCGCCGCCCTCCAGGGCACCCCGCCTCGCCCCCGCCCTCGCCCCGCCTCCGCTCCGGAGTCCTCCCCTCGCGCGCCTCCCCCCGCGGCTCCCCCTCCCACTTCGGGCCGCCGCGCCTCGCCCCCCTCCGCCGCGGCCCAATCACCGCCCGCCGCCGCCGCTCCCTTTGTCTGGGCCGCGGGCTCGGGCCAATGGCGGTGCGCGGACACGCGGGCGGCGCGCGTCTGGCCCAATGGGCTGGCCGGACGGGCCGCGCGGGGCGGTGCCGGGGCCCCGGGGTCCGCGCGCGGCCGGGCGGCTTCGTGCAGGCCCGCGCCCGCGGCCGGGACGGCGGCCCCCAGGCAGGTGGCCCGCCGGCCGCGGCCCGCAGCGTTTTCTCCCCTCTCGGAGTCGCCTCCGCTGTGCGGGAGGGCGGATGGCCCTGCGGAGCGGGACGACTGCGCGCCCTGGAGCGCGAGACCCTGGGGGATTTGGCCCGAGGGGCTCCGCGCGCCCGGCGCCCTGCAGAGAAAGGCAGCACAGCGGGAGGGCGCGAGGGTCCCTGAGAGCCGGCGCCCCCGAGGGACGTGCCTCTTAGAGGCGTCTCCTCCCCGAACTGGGTCCCCTGGGGTGGGAGTGGGGCTCAGGAGCCAGTCCTGGCCGCGTGCCCTGCCTGGAGGCTCTCAGGTCACCCTGGATAAGGAGTGGCCCTCTGTCCCCCTGAGCTGGGTCATATTGAGGGGGAAATGTCAGAACGCCAAGAGCCGGCACCCACAGCCTCTCAGATCTGGGGTCTGCACAGCTGGGGCTGCACACCTGCTGCCTTTGGTGTCCTCCCACAGGTGGGCTTCCAGCTCCCCTGGACGGCCGGGTCGCGGGAAGGGTCTGCCTGTGCCCTCACCCAGGCCCTGTGGGAGGGAGAAAGGTTCTGACCTCTGTACAGTGTCCTTGTTGTCGCCTCATGGAGGGAGAAGGTGAAAATCTCCAGGATGCCAGATCGCTCCTCTGGTCCCCTTTTCCCTAGGAAACACACACACACACACACACACACACACACACACACGCAGCATCTCAGCTTGCTTCTTCATGGTGGATTTCTGCCCTCGCTGCTCCGGTACCTTCTTTGAAAGTAGAAGACATGGTTTTAATTCCACAAGGAGCAATAGCCACCATGCATGGCCCCAGCCTCAGAGAGGGTGGCTTCCAAATCTGGGCTCAGAGTACAATCACGGATAAACCGGAGTAGGATCCTGAGCACAGCACTTGTGGGTGGTTCCCTTCCAAAGCACTGGACGTGGAGACTGGGAAGGTCCTACTCTGTGGGGTGAGTTGGACACCCGGATGAGGTGCAGCCTGCCATAGGGACCTGCCATGTCACACGGACCCAGGACTCGTCGGGTTTGGCTGAGGTTTCTCGGTCCACACATCGCTGGAGCTTATGTCACCAAAGTCACCATGCAACTCTTACGTCTAAGGCCTCAAGACAGTGACCTCCAAGGCCCTACTCTGTGGTTCCCCACTCCAGGCCTAGGTGATCCTGAGGCAGGCCTGGAAGGCCAACCCTAACCCTGTTGGCAGCCCACAGACCCCATCACCTCGTCCTTGGAGATTTTGCTCCCTGGGATGCAAATCCTGAGAACTGACCAGGTACGGATGCCGCAAGGAGATTGAGTAAAGATGGTGGTCTGGACCCTTCCTGGCAGCCTCTGGACTTCCCCTCGAAACCGGGAAATGACAGAAAAATTGAAAATCCATTCTAACCAGGAGCACAAGAAGGGTGCCCTCAGTGGACTAGAGATCCCAAAGGGTTCTAGGGAGATGGGTGGTGGTGGGACCAGTTGCTCTGCCCGGAGGGGAGAAACCGAGCTAAAAGCAGAGGCAAGGGCGCTGGGGTGGCTCAGTGGGTTAAAGCCTCTGCCTTCAACTCTGGTCATGATCCCAAGGTCCTGGGATCGAGCCCCACATCGGGCTCTCTGGTCCGTGGAGAGCCTGCTTCCTCCTCTCTCTCTGCCTGCCTCTCTGCCTACTTGTGATCTCTGTCAAATGAATAAATAAATCTTAAAAAAAAAAAAAAAGCAGAGGCCGCAACTGCTGGTAGGCAACAGGAGCTCAGGGGATGCTGCTGTGGGGCCACAGGGACAACTGTCAGGGCGACCCCGGGGGGGGCTTTGTGGGGACAGAGTCACCCCTGGCTGTGCCAAGCACCAGACAGCAGATAAAGAGGAGAGCCTACTGGTGCCTAATGCCCAGAAGGAATATGGAGTCCCCTGTCCCCTGAGGGGTCCCCAAGCACCTCAGCGACCTGCTGGACCCTCCACACAGTGGCCACAGGCCACCAACAATGTGCTGATGGACAAACAGGACGCCTGGTGTCTGAAGAGGACCACAGACCTGGAGGCGGCGGCGCCCGGGAAGTTCCCGAAGCAGGGCAGAGGCCACAGCTGTCCGTGGGGATCGGGTTCCCTGGTCCCCTGGTCGCGGGCTAGACTCCGTTTCCCAAATTCCTTAGCAAGTAGGTGTGGCTGGGACACCAGCCCTTGTCCAGTGGAACTTGAGCAGATGGGACAGGTGCCCTGTCTGGGAATGGCCCAAACCCCCCTCCCAGGGGCCTAAATGGTGACAAGCCCAGTGAGGGTGACGGGAAGCTTCAGAGACTGCGGGTTACCGTCCTGGGCTCTGAAGGCCAGCGTTCAGGCCACCGCCACTTGAAGCCCTGGTGTGGCTTCTCCGGAGACAAAGCAGCTTCTCCGAGTTCGTGCGGTCACACCAGGTGTGTGTGCCGGGGCCGGCAAACCTCCAGAGCTTCACAGCCCCGCACGAGACCCTCACGTCCACCTGCAGGCCGTGGCCTCCTGGGCAGTGGGAGGCACTGCTGTCCTTGGACCGGGCAGTGCGACCTCGTCAGCCCGCGGGTTTTCGGCCGGCACCTGGGGAGGCTGCGCTGGAAGGGCGGAGGGCACAGCGCCATGTGCTGGGGGGGAGCCCGAGGGGCGGGCCTGCGTCCAGGCCCCAGCGACCCTCAGGGCTGCGAGCGAGAGCATCCGTGATTGTGGCCCTGCCGCTGTGTCGCCGTGTCGGGTGGTTTGTTTGCAGTGTCGCTGTGGCAACGGCTGCCTAACCCGCCCACCACAGCTAAGGCAGAAACGGGTGCCTGGGGAGCCGGTGTGACAAAGCCTGAAAACATGTGGCGCTGGCTTCGTGCTCAGCTCGCGGGGGACAGGGAAGCGGACATGGCGAGCTGGAAATAATAACACACTTCCCTTGCCGGGTCCCGGCAACATATTTGGAAAAACTGGGGCAGCGGTCGCCAAGGCCCCAAGGGCAAGGGTGCGTTGGCCGTCTCAGCGGCTTCCCTGTGGCCTCACCGGAAAGCCAGGGCCGGCTGGCGGCGTGGCCCGGGGGGCCTGGTACCTGCAGGTTGGAAGAGCCCCGCGCTCACGCCGCAGAGAGTGGGAGGCTGCACGGGCGCAAGAGAGACTTGGGCTTTGGGCTGGGCCATCTCCATGGAGATGAGCTGCTTTTCTCCCTGGGGGAAGTCTGGGTGCTGGTGGACCTCTGGAGGCCAAAGGGCAGATGTCTTAGCTGCCCAGCCCCGGGCCCCGTGGCACAACCCTTCCCTGGGTTCCCCTTGCAGTCGGTGTGACCAGGTAAGCAGTTCTGTGCAAGAACATGTGGGAGAAGCAATGTGTGTCACCTTCAGACGAGCCCGGAGACCTCTCTTGAGACTTTTTCCGTGACTCCCCTTCCCACGGCCGGGGTGGGGACAGTCCAAGCGACTGAGGAAGCCACCTGCTGTGAACAGGACCTCCTACCCCAAAATGGGACGCTTGCCCTGGGAAGGTGAGAGCTTCAGAAGCTTCTTTTTTTTTTTTTTTTTAAGATTTTATTTATTTATTTGACAGACAGAGATCACAAGTAGGCAGACAGGCAGAGAAAGAGGAGGAAGCAGGCTCCCTGCTGAGCAGAGAGCCCGATGTGGGGCTCAATCCCAGGACCCTGAGATCATGACCCGAGCCGAAGGCAGAGGCTTTAACCCACTGAGCCACCCAGGCGCCCCGAGTTTCAGAAGCTTCCAACATGCACAGTTACATGCGGGGTCTCAGTGTTACAGGACTTGAGCTGTGCTTGCCTACAAAGAAGCAAGAGTTTCCAGAACACCCGGAACGTGTAAAACAGCATCTGTAATACCATCAGAGAGAAAAGAAGAGATTTTATCCTTTATTTTATTTTAAGATTTTTAAATTTTATTTATTTATTTATTTATTTGGCAGACAGAGATCACAAGCAGGCAGAGGCAGGCAGAGAGTGAGGGGCGGGGAGCAGGCTCCCTGCTGAGCAGAGAGCCCAGTGCAGGGCTCGATCCCAGGACCCTGAGATCATGACCTGAGCTGAAGGCCGAGGCTTAACCCACTGAGCCACCCAGGCGCCCCTAAACTTATTTATTTGACAGAGACATAGCAAGAGAGGCAACACAGGCAGGGGGAGAGGGAGAAGCAGGCTTCCCGCTGAGCAGGGAACCCAGTAGATGTGGGGCTCGATCCCAGGACCCTGGGACCATGACCTGAGCGGAAGACAGACGCTGAACAACTGAGCCACCGAGGCGTCCTAATTTTGCCCTTTAAAAACAGCATCTGGGGAAGCAAACTCTCAGATGATTTTTATTTTCTTTTTCTTTTTTAATAATTTTATGTATCACACAATTTTTACAAGAATATGTTGTTTACATGTTCAGAGGAACAAAACCAACAAAACCAGGTTTGTTGTGAAAAAAATAAAAATGAGTTTTAAAAGATACCTTCCAGAAGTCAACTATCTTGGGACATAAAAAATGTGGACGTTGAAATAAACAATACGTAAAAAAAAAATACTCAGGAGCACCTGGCAGGCTGTCAGTGGAGCATGTGATTTTTGATCTCGGGGTGGTGAGTTCAAGCCCCACATTTGGCATAGAGATTACTTTAAAAAAAAATGGGGGAAAAAAAGGCCAAAGAGTAGAATAGAAACGGTGGAGCCACGAACTAGTGCGCTGGAGAATTCTCTAGAACACAGAGTAAAATGTAAAAAGTTATTAAGTTGGAAGAAAATTTAAGAAGCATGAAAATTAATTCACAGTTTCCTACATCCCGTTATTTAGACGGAATTCCGAAGGACGGAGACTAGAGGGAAAGCTATCTACTGCAACAAAGAGTCCAGGAAAACGCCCCGGCCTCGAAAACACACATGACAACACTTTGGAACCCAGACAAAGTGAGCAAATAAAAGCTCCCAGTGGGGGAAAAAAAGAACATGTTACTTCCAAAAAAAGAAAGAAAAGGATAAGCCTGATGTCAGACATCAGCAACTTCGGATTCCAAACAATTCAGGGTACCTTCACAGTTTGGAGGGGAAGTTACTTGAGCCTGTGATTCTCTGCCAGGCCTAACAGCCATTCAGCTGGGAGGAAAAACAAACACTTTTTTGGGTCATGCCAAGTGTTCAGAGAGTTTATTTCCAACAAATACTATCTGACATAATTACTAGATTATATGCTCTAGCAAAACGAAAAATGAATCCAAGAGGAAGACAGGGCCTACAGGAGTCAGTGAAATTATTTTTATCGGGGAACTCGTGCTGGAAAATCCTCTCAGCAGCCTGGGAGGAAAATCCCGATGACCTCATCCTGAGCAGGGTGGAGACAGGAGGAGGGAAATAACGCTGGAAAGTGTGTCTTATTCATGGGGACAATCTGGATCCTGATTAATTCTCAACATGGGTAGGAAAAGGTAAGTTTACATATGCATGCTAAAAATTTTAAGTAACCACTAGGTGCATAGAAGTATGGTATAAGCCTTCCGAGCCATTAGAAGGGAAAGCTGGAGCAAAGAGGACTTTTAAATCTAAGAGAAACAGGAAAGGGGGGGGGGGGGCAGGAAGCCTCCAGATGGAAAGCTGAGGCTCGATCACAGGACTGGATTTCAGTACCCTGGCGATCACAATAAACGCGAAGGAGTTAAAGTCATGCATTCAAAGGCAGAGACACTTGGGATAAATAAATGTTCAAAATCCAGACCCCAGCTGTCAGGAAGGCTGACCCCAGCACCCAGCCTGGACCCATAGAGAGAGCCCAGGCAGGAGGTTCCTGAGGCCTATGAGGAGGGCTAGGACAGAGTCATCACCCTTCTTTTCTTTCATTTCCCACTGCAACTTGGTGTTTGGTGTAGGCATCTTGAAGTACTGTTTCTGTCCATTAACGCTTCCAAATTTTGGTAACTATGTAACGTATTAATGAAGAAGCTCAAATCACATACAGATGTTTATGATATATTAACACACATGTGTACAAAACATAAAAAATCATCTAGACGTTGATGATTGTATTTGAATATAGTTGGTTTCTCTTATAATCCTATGTGTTTTCAGTATTTAAAAACCTTGCTCTGAGAAGGGATCCACACACCCCCAGATGCCAAGAAGAGACCAGGCCAATCTCTGTGACTCAGCAGCTGATCCTACACCTGGGCAGGGCGGGCACGCACGCACGCAAAGGGACGCACCCTCCAAGGACTCCAGGACAAGCCCATTACTTCTGTAAGCGCTCCCGGGGGCAGATGCTCTGGTCTTCCCCTGGATCCTGTTGGGTTTGGGTGAGAAGCCTGCAACCACCAGTCCCCTCACCCAGCCTGAGGGCAGTCCGGCCCCCCCCCACCTCTCGTAGTCAGAGCCCAGGAGCTGAGGTCTGCGGGAGACACTGCCGGACCCCAGCTGTCAGCTCCGGCGCCCACCCCCCTCTGTCGTGTGAAATGTTAAACTTCATCACTGTTGATGCCAGAGGGAGACGGAGTCTCTGCTTCCTGCACCCCCGCCCAGAAGAAAACAGGGAGCAAGCAGAGAAAACGGTCAAAGGTGACAGCGGGCTAACGGGCTGCTCTGCCGTCTGCGTGTGGGCCGCGCTGTGAGAAGCTGTAGGGCCACACATGTCGGTTTTTAAAGATTTATTTACTTCAGACAGGGGAAGAGAGAGGGAATGTGCAGGGGGTAGGGGTAGAGGGAGAGAGTCTTAAGCAGAGTTGGAGCAGCACCGAGTCCTACGCAGGGCTCCATCTCAAGACCCAGAGGTCGTGACCTGAGTCGAAACCAAGAGTTGATGGCTCAAGCAACGGCGCCCCCCAGGTGCCCAGTTGAATTGCACATTTAATACCGGTCCCCATCCGTGTACGTGTACTGTCCTTCAATGCACCGTTTTAAAAAATGCCATACCAGAGACGCCTGGGTGGCTCGATGGGTTGAGCCTCTGCCTTTGGCTTGGGTCATGATCTCAGGGTCCTGGGATCGAGCCCCGCATCGGGCTCTCTGCTCTGCGGGGAGCCTGCTTCCCCTCCTCTCTCTCTGCCTGCCGCTCTGCCTGCTTGTGATCTCTCTGTGTGTCAAATAAATAAATAATTCTTTTAAAAATTTTAAATTTAAAAATGCCATACCAATGGTAATGGTTGCACGACATTGTGACGGTTCTTCATGTCACCGAATCGTATGTAAAAATGCTTTAAATGATGAATTTTGTATATACAGTATACCACAACAAGAAGGAAGAATAATTCAGAGGATTAGAGTAAACATTGCTAAAGCAAATGCTAAGAAAAGGGAACATATGTAGTAATGCTAGTAAGAGAAATGGAATTCAAGGCAAAAGGCGTGTAAAGCGATCCCCCAAAGCCCACTGCATTTCCCTTCCAGCCGCCACAGAGCCGTGCCAAGTGCATTGGCTGATCCGTAGCTGTTCAGCTGCAAATGACGGAAAACTTAACACTGACCTGCATGTTGTTTGTCTCATGCGGCAAGAAGTGCAGACCTTGGAAGTCTACGATTAACAGAGCTACCCAAGGAAATTGTCAGGGGCACAGATTCTGTCTTTTGGCAGCATGTGGCTTATGTCCTCATGGCTACAAAATGGCTGCTGTGCCTCTGGTCACATCCTGTTTCCAAAAATGAGCAAGGGAAAGGGCCAAGGGGTAAAGCTTTATTTCCACAAAGCTTCCCCTTATTTTTAGGTGGAGAAGTCTGCAGAGGTCTCTGTCCACATCTCCTTGGTCAGGACTAGGTCACAGGGACACTCCTATCGTCCAGGGAGACAGAGTCCGTGGCACCAATCACGAACTGCTATAAACCAACTAACATGTCTTCAAAACACAGAGAGCAAAAAATCACAGGGTTCACCTGACTGGCTCAGTTGGTGGAGCACAGGATCTTGATCTCAGGGTTGTGAGTTCAGGCCCCTCATGGGGTGTCGAGATGCCTTAAAAATAAAATCTTTAAAAAAAATTATAGTGCACACAAAGCTGCACATAGATCTTAACACATCAGTCTCAGAAATTGAGAGACCCAGTGCACAGAAAACAATGAAGTATATGACAGCTCTAAAAGGCACAATTAACAAATGTGATCCCACAGATCTCTATTAGAGAACGTTGTGATGGATGAACAGAAGCTCTATTATTTCACACGTATGGACCAGTCACAGAGCTGTCCATATATTGGGTCACAAAAGAAATCCAATAGATTGGGGCACCTGGCTGGCTCAG